GTTAACAATGTTCTCTGCGAGGCTTTCGCGGCGTCTGAAGAGGCAGCTCGAGCACCCAACTGAAGTGTTTTCTTCGCTACCTTATTGTGTAACCCAGACCCCATCCCTCGTTATCACAGATTATGGCGGGGGCTGCACCGCTTAGCCAGAGAGGGTCTATGACACAGCGGGGAGCATGAATGAAAATGAGATGCAGGTGTGCAAGCTTAACCGATGTCGCTGCGTCACCAGCACGTCACCTCCAGAGGTGAATCAATAGTGCGTGAGCGATCCTAAGGCTGGCACTGGCGTCCTTCTCGCACTATTTCTTTTCCCTCTTTCGTGTGATGCGGGGCCAGCAATTCCAAATACGCGACGAGGACAGCTTCTTAGGAACGATGACTGCCGATGACTTTGGTGAGCAACAGCACCTGACCCGGAACTCAGAAGCTTTGTGGAGTACCTCAAGGGTAGCAGCACGACTATTCCGAATATTTTCAAGGAGGACTGGAGTCGTTTTTCTTGCGAAACAGAGTTCTTTCCAAGAACTCCCTCTTCGAGCCAACCACCTTCTCGTGGTTCCTTAAGCAGTAAGACCAGAGGTACTCGAGGCCGTACACGACGACCCGACGGCTGAATACCTGAGTGTTTGCCTCACGCTCGCAAGAATACAGGAAAAAGCACTTCTGGCCACGACTATCAGCCGACGTCAATCGCTACGTCAGGACCTGCCTCGGCTGTGAACGATGACATACACCGCCGACCAGGCCAGCCACCCTTCTCGAGCCCATTGAGCCAGGCTGCCGGCCATTCCAGAAAATCAGCATTTACTTAGTGGGGCCGTTCATGGCGTCGAATTCCTAGAACAAATGAATCGTCGTAGTTACTACCTCACACGCTCTGCCGAAACAAAGGCCCTTCCTAAGGGCAGTGCCTCCGAGTTAGCAAAGTTCTTCGTCCAGAACAGTGTTCTGCGTCACGGAGCTCCAGAAGTTCTCATTACTTGTAGAGGTATAGCCTTTACGGCGAACCTAAACCAGACAAGTCACCACCACACCACCCCCCTGCCTTCCACAGACCAACGGCCTCACCGAACGTCTTAATAAGACCATCGCTGATATGCTGGCTACATACGTCGACGTCAAGAACGAGACTTAGGGATGAAATCCTTCCGTACGTGACTTTCGCGTACAATACGGCCGTCCAAAAAACAACGCAGATGAGGCCGTACAAGTTCGTCTATGGAAGGAGCCCGGCAACGACGCTCGACCCTATGCTTCCAACCATCGCTGATGAAGAAAACCTCGACTTCACTACTTACCTTCAGCGCGCGGAAGAAGCGGGTCAACTCGCCCGCCTGCGCATCAAGAAGTAGCAGGCGACCTACAGCCGCCGTTACAATCTTGGACGAAGCTTCGTTGAGTACCAGCCCGGGAATTGTGTCTGGGTATGAACGCCGATAAGGTGACGTGGGCTCAGTAAAAAACTTTTGCGACGGTAGATCGGACCGTACAGAGTAGTTCGACGTCTCAGCCCACTCGACCACAAGGTTGTTCGCGACGGCAAAACGAACACTCAACGTTGCCGCGCTCGACCTAAAGTTGTCCATGTCGTGCGCCTCGAAACATTAAATGCGCGAACCTGAAGACTGCACTTTTTGCTGTTGCTGTAAATATTGTTACTTTATTATTGCACCTTCGTATTTCAGTAAATCAACGGGATGACGCCTTTTTCACAGGTGGGCAATGCCACGTTCTTTTCCTCAAATTTTGTTTTCAGCCCGTTACACTACATTCAGTGCAAACCACGCCTACGATGTTCGAGAAGCTTCGAGGCTTTAGTAGATAGTGTTCTTCAGATTACGCCCACTTCAGAAACGTCACAGTTATTCTGAAAACTACGTCGCCGCTAGCGATAATGCTAGAATATCCGATGGCAAGGGTATGAATGCCGACACGCTTCGCCGCTTGTCAGTTGATCGACGGCCGACGCTTCCTTCACTGCTATCAGTGTAAGATTGCTACTGTAATCCGACTTTCCGTTTACTGGGCACAGGTTCGCCCAAATAAACAGTTTGTAATTCGACTCGCAGTGTGCTCCATTCGTCCACGTCAAGACCCCAGGAAATAATAACGGTGCTTGACTCTAAGAAGAAAGGTTGGTATATTCACTAAGTACTAGCCCGTTACTTGTCACAGATTCCACTAACCCGCTAGTAAAATAACCCTAGTGAAAACACTACCTCGACAGGCTCGTAACAAACACTATCCCAAATAATAACAGGCTGGGTAAAATCACTAGGTCGTTGGAAAATTAAAATACTACCTATTTAGCAAGTAAATAGTGCTCTCTGTTCATTACTAAACTCTTTGTAGCACCCACAAGTAGATGTTTACGCCTATATTCATCAATATTCGTGTGCGTGGTCATATATGATTCTATTACAAAAGTATAGACTAAAACAACAAATTGATATGACCCTCGTAAGTTAAAATGGCTTTATTTACGTCATGTGACTAATCTGGGGTCAATGCGCATCACAGCAACTCACTTATATGGAATTAACGACACGATCATCTGATCAAATTGGATTCACAAATGTATGATGATATTTCAGTCTCATGTGCTCATGTGGACTCATATAAACATATGACAACAGCAAGTAGTGGGTTTCTGGCTGTTGCATGGCTGGTTTTACTATGACTTGTGCGTGTCAGAGGATTTGGGGGTGGATAACGACGACGACGAACTCGCGCTGCTTGATCGAAGCTGTTCAGCTGTTTGCTACACCGTTACTTGCAATGATTTTATTACGTTGACAAACTGGTGGAGCTGCTGGTTACAATCCCAATTCGCTAGTTTGAACTTAAGCCGCGTCAAGCTTCGCCACCATTTCAATGATTCCGGAGGAAAACCTGCCACTTGGCCTCAGCCGACGCTTGCTAGAACTACCTCCTCAGCTTGGTACCTTAAGCTCGGCAAGAATGACCACCACAACGGCAAGTCAGACGCAAGAAAGCAACGTAGACCAACTCACATCCACGCCAAGCGTCGTCTACACAACATACACCCCGAAGCCGTTTCATGTTGATGTGTTCGAGGACGTAGATCACTAGATAGGCCACTTTGCTTGGGTCGCAGCCGCCAACGAATGGAATGAAACCAAAACGCATCGCTACGTCTATTTCGCGCTTGAATAATATGCTTGCATTTGGTATAAGAACAATGAGCCGTCTATCACAAACTCGCACCAGTTTCAGCGAAGGCTATGCCAGACATTCAGAAATCACGAGAAGAAAGGAAAAGCCGACCAGCCTCTGTATAGCCGGGTTCACAAGCCGAATTAAAACATGGCTCTGTTTGTCGAAGACATGTCACGCTTGTTTAGGCGTGCTGACCCAGGGATGGATGAGACAAGGAAAGTTCGACTCCTCCTGCGGGGTGTCAAGGAGTAACTTTTTGCTGGAATCATACGCCAGCCCCCAAACACTAGTCGATGAGTTCATCACTGAAGCTACTACCATGAAACGGGCACTTCAGCAACGCTCTCTGCAGTATGACCATCAAGCTTCTGTCGCCTCGGTGTCACCCTTCAACTTTGGGCAGGACTTTTCAGCACTCCGCAAGCTTGTGCGGAGCGTGGTCCGTGAGGAGCTCGAAAAAGTTCGTTCCACTTGTACTCACCCATGTGCGACGATTCTAGGTGACATTATTCGCGAAGAACTTAAAAATGTGAGCCAATCATTGCTCTCTACCTGTGCGGAAACTCAAGCTTTGTCTTCCACCGAAGCATTAATGAGTCCTCAACGTTCTACTGGACGCCGGCCACCCTCTACTTTTTCACTATCACCCCGTCAATTCGCACTTGCAAATAACTATGAGAACACTTCTCAGTATGACGTTTCGCGCGAAGTCGCCCGTAAATCTGGCGTATGGCGCACCTCCGAAAACAGGCCCCTTTGCTACCACTGCAGCGAAGGAAGCCATCTGTACCGCCAGTGTGCGTACCACAAGATGGGCCTAGGGGTTTCACTCTAACGCGCGTCGACCAAGCAACGGGGAGCGACCTCGCCAGATTCAGCAATAACTAGCCACGCAACAGCCAGAAACCCACTACATACTCATGTCATTATGCTCATATCAGTCTATATGAGCATATCATTGTTATACGCACATGATTACATGCTCATATAAGTATGAAAACTCATTCGAGTGGATCACGAGGACACGCATGCGAATGCATGCTCAAGTAAATTTTCAAGACTTGGACATAGCAGAATTCTACTGCAGCAGCAGCTTGAAGACTATATATACCCCTGCTTGGGACTGTACGCCACGTACTGGTTAGCAGTCACAAAATGTATAAAATATTTTTTTCTTTTATACGAATCATCACGTTCCCTTCTATTTACCTATGTGTGTGCCATTACGTAGCACGAAATTTCTGTAACAAAATGGTCAATAAAATTAGAGATTGCTTAAGTTTTCCTTATGATCTCACATTTACAGCAAAATTTACTGTGGCATACACCACCAATCTGGCAACAAAGGTGGCTTAGTAGTTTTCTATTGAAAACACAAAGAAAGGTTTCTAGGTTAGTGACGGCTGTGCTTGCTGTTGGCTATAAAAGTATGCCACGAAGGTTGTAAAACCTGTGCTAGTTGGTGGCCTACCAAAAGTATGTCGCGAATGTATTAAAACATTTTCTAACTGGTGGCTATTGAAAGTATGCCGCGAAGGTTGTAAAATACTCCGCAAACTAGTAAACACACATGTTTACTAACTGATTTCCAACTTTTTTTCTAAGAGTGTTGAGACAGTGCGAAACCGCGTTAGGCGCAGAAAACTCCCAGAGACTCGCGGGGAGAATTGATGCATCAACTGAGAAAAGCATTTAGATGACTTTCGACTTCGAGTTGTTTACGCGCACGCATTAGGTACCATGTTACTCTTTTCATCTTTAGCTTTTCGCCTATTGTGAATTTTTGGTATGCATGTGAACCTCAATGAAGCATCGTACCATACGGGCGCCTCTTCAGTATTTCAGGTGCCATGTAAGGAATGGTGCCAGCCGATTCACCGTCATGGAACTCAAACGGGGTCCTCCGGAAGTACCCCCGCAGGAGGCGCTTGGAAACTGCACGAAATGAATGGGCGCACGTGATGGGCAACGCTCCGCTGCTCTGAACTTTCCTGTGATACCCAGACTTGGACAGAAACTTGACACCACAAAATGACAACGCTTAAAACGCACCGTTTAAACGATGGCCTGCATGTTACGTCAAGGCCTTTCTAGAAAATGAGTAACTGCGTTGACACGGAAACAGCTTCCGCAGATTCAGTAAGTACTTCCATAGCTTAGTTTTTATTAATATATATTATCATTTTTTTCACGTGTGCTTGAATTCAATGTATTTGTTATACGTATGGTGTTACTCTGACTTTTCATTTCTGCATCTATGTTCTCCACTCAGTGTACATGACAGTAGGTCAATTTTTCACCCCCGTTCCCAGATAAGCGATCGGTTTTTTTTATTTCCCAGTGTAGAGCGTACGCTACCGTATCACATTTATTAAATACCCACCTCTGTCTATTGCATGAGTATAAGAAAGCATCACTTAGTATGCTAATAGTGACAGCTTCAATTTATTGTTTCAGTTTTATTTTTTACGTTCCTGGGCTTGAAGGTCTTGCTTCCTAGTCTGTTTGTTTCTTCGGCATATTTACATCAAAGCAGCAGTAAACAGGATTGCATTTGGGGAGAAAACAAAAAACGCTTCGCGATGGCTTAATAAAAGTGCATTACAGTGAAAAGAAAAGCCGTAAGATATCTATATATTGTGAACATTATTCATGCGCTTCAGTTTTTCATCTGTAAACACCCACCATCATCACTTTCGCCTTACCAAGGGGGTTCTGGCTAGAGTTCGAATAAAGAAGAGTCGTGTGGCTTGAACTTTCTCTCATCATATATCTTCAGAGTTTGTGAAGCATATTCAGTATAGAGTTCTTCATAATATGTCCATATTCTCACTATTATAGTTCTTTACCGGACATCTAGCGTAAAATCATATTGTGAAAAGTACTCTGCTCTTCAATCAAACTTCGCAAAGAGCCAGGGTAGTGGCCAGTTGGTCATACATAGTGTAAACGTTTTGCGCGCTACAAGGAAAGCAGATCGACGAAGAAAGAGGGATACAGGACAACAGAAGCGAATACTGGGAACCGCTTAATTTAGCAGAATCATGAAAAGTATATATTGTTGCGAGAGGAAACGATAGACAGGAACTCGAGGTGAACGACCGTTTACTCAGCCACAGCAGCCAGTCACTTCTTCGCTCTAGTCTTCTGCCACCAACACAGCGTGGCATTACCCTCTCCCAAAGAAAAAAAAAGAAGAAGCATGGCATGAATGCCACGGCTCCGAAAAACAACCAAAGGTAGGCAGAAATGTCTGTGACCATTGAAAAGAAAAAAGACGAGATAAAAAAGAAGCAAGAAAGTGATGTACAACTGTCTTGAAGGCTATTGCCACATCACAAAGTTCTTGACTTGCAGTCAACGCGAATAGTGCGGCTTCATCCTGGAGACGTGAACCACATGCGAGGAGCGGGGTCTGCGAGAACGGTGTAACGTGTCTACTGGGACAACTTCGTAGTTCACTTCGCCGAGGCGATCAAGAACTCGGTAGGGTCTGAAGTACCAACATAACAATGTTTCTGAGCGTCCACATTGACGTATAGGAGTCCAAAGCCAGACTGGGTCACCGGGTTCGTATATTACTGCTCTGTGGTGGGTGTTGTACCGGCGAGCATCTAGATTTCCGCGATAAAATGCGAAAGCGCGCCAGCTGTCGGGCGTCTTCGGCACGCTGAACAAATACACCTGCGTCCGGGGTAATCGTGTCAGGCAGAGTTGGTTGCAGAATGATGTCAAGCAATTTAGTGACGTCGCGGCCGTAAACCAGACGAAAAGGAGCCAAGCCGGTGGTTTCCTGTAAAGCCGTGTTGTAGGCAAATGTTATATACGGGAAGATTTCATCCCAATTCTTCTGATCCTTGGCGACATACATCGAAAGCATATCTGCAATCGTTTTGTTAAGGCGTTCGGTTAACCCGTTAGTCTGCGTGTGGTACGCAGTTGCTGTTCGGTGCGTCGTGCCGCTCAGCAACAGGATCTGTCGGAGCAACTGTGCCGTAAAAGCAGTACCACGATCTGTGATGATGACAGCGGGAGCACCGTGGCGGAGAACGATGTCCTTGATGAAAAAGTCAGCCACCTCGAAAGCAGTTGCTCGCTGGGTGGCTTGCGTTTCGCAGTATCAGGTCAAGTAGTCGGTGGCAACCACAATCCCGTGCTTACCAGCCGTAGACTTCGGAAAGAGGCCGAGTAAATCCATTCCGAACTTTTCAAAAGGTTCGTGAAGGGGTCGCAAAAGCTGAAGCAGACCGGCTCGTTTCGTCGTTGGAGTTTTGCGGCGCTGACAGGCTGTGCGTGTTTTGACGTACTGCCGGACGGTTTTCGTAAGTTTCCGCCAGTAGTATTTGTCCTTGATCCGCGCCAGAGTACGCGCGAAGCCAAGATGCCCTGACGATGGCTTGTCGTGACAAACACGCAAAATATCATCGCGGAGAGCAGCAGGAACGACGAAGGGGTAAACAGTTTTCGTTGAATGAAAGTTGCGCTTGTAGAGGATGCCTTGGCGCCGACAGAAAGATGACAAATCACGCGTGAACTGATGTGGGGGTTGTCGGCGACGTCCCTCAAGTAATTCGATCAGTGGTTGTAATTCTAAGTCTGCGCGTTGCTGCTCAGCCACGTTTAATGATGCGAGGATAGCAAGGCAGCTGAAGTCTTCATCATTGTCTTCTTAAGCGACCTCGACGGGTGCGCGGGAAAGACAGTCAGCGTCAGTGTGTTTCTAGCCAGACTTGTAAACCATCGTTATATCGAATTCTTGTAACCGAAGGCTCCATCTTGCGAGACGGCCCGAAGGATCTTTTAGATTCGCTAGCCAGCAGAGAGTGTGGTGGTCACTGACGATTCGGAAGGGGCGTTCGTACAAGTAGGGCCTGAATTTCGTTATGGCCCATACAACGCCAGACTTTCTTTTTCAGTCGTCGAGTAGTTCTTCTCCACAGATGACAACATGCGGCTAGCGTAGGCGATGACGCGTTCCACGCCATCTTGATATTGCACGAGAATAGCTCCGAGGCCAAGGTTGCTCGCGTCAGTGCAGACTTCTGGGTCTGCTTTGTTGTCGAAGTGACCAAAAATCGGTGGCGTTCGTAGGCGTTGTTGAAGGTCGCGGAAATCGCCAGATTGTTTGGGGCCCCGGAAGAAGGCGACATCATCCTTAACGAGTTGTTGTAGAGGGTCGGCGATTTTCGAAAAGTTCGGCACGAAGCGGCGGTAATAAGCACAAAGTCCCAGCAAGCGGCGTACCTCATGCTTTGTTTTTGGTATCGGGAACAAAGCAACTGCCATAGCCTTGTCAGGATCTGGGCGAACACCACTGCTGCTGACAATGTGGCCAAGGAATTTTAGTTCCTAATATCCAAAATAACACTTTCCCGGTTTCAGAGAGAGGCCGGCAGTGCGAATAGCCAGAAGAACTGCCTCAAGCCACTCAATTTTCCGTTCGAAAGTCGTAGAAAAAACGACTACGTCATCTAAAGACACTAAAAAAGAGTACCACTTCAAGCCACATAAAACTGTGTACATCATTCGCTGGAACGTGGCTGGAGCGGAACACAGGCCAATAGGGGAACTTTAAATTCATAGAGACCGTCCGGAGTAATAAACGCTGTTTTTTCTTGGCCCCGTTCATCTACTTCAATCTGCCAATATCCGCTACGGAGATCCATGGAAGAGAAGTAACGGGCATGTCGCAGGCGATCCAAGGAGTCATCAATACGAGGAAGAGGATATACGTCTTTTTTCGTTATCTTGTTCAGTTTGCGGTAGTTGACGCAGAATCGTAATGAACCATCTTTCTTTTTAACCAGAACAACTGGTGACGCCCAAGGACTAGTCGATGGTTGATTTACGTCGTCGTCGAGCATTTGTTTCACCTGATGACAGATAGCATCTTGCTCCTTCTGAGAAACGTGGTAAGCATGTTGGCGCACGGGTTGCACGTTGGGCTCAGTGATATTTCTGTGCTTCATTAGAGGAGTCTGCCGGACTTTCGAGGTAGCGGAAAAACAGTCACTAAAGGATGAGAGGAGACTGAGGAGCCTTGCCCTCTTAGGTACTTCTAACTGGCGATTGACGTTGAGGCGACTAGTCGCATCAGTATCGCAGCTGTTCTCAGTCGAGATCGTCGTAATCAAAGGGAAGGCGTCCAAATCATCCATTGCCTCCACGTAAGCTATGGTTGATCGTTTCGCAAAATGCCTGTGTTCGCCACCGAAGTTCGTAACTAAAACCGTAGTCTGGCAATTTCAGAGTTGAACGAGACTTGGAGCAATGGCCACTTCCCGATCAAGCAATAACGTCAGGTTTCTTTCGGCGATGCCCGTAATCGACTGCTCCCGTGGACACTCAACAAGCACGAAGATACTACTGCGAGGTGGCAACGTGATGCAATCATCGACTACGCGTAAGGCCCTGCCACGATGTTCGTTCTCGATGTTGGAAATCTGGAGAAACACAGTTAACAAAACTGACGAAAAAACCACGCAGATTAATTATCGCTCCATACTCTTGCAGAAAATCTATGCCCAAATTGATCGGCCGAGAACAATCGGGCAGTACAAGGAATGATGCTACAAAAGCCGACGCGCAAATCTCAAGCCTGGCGGAGCACCTTCCTATTGGGGATACGAGGTGTCCTCCAGCGCTGATTAGATGAGTGCCGTCCCACGTTGTCAGCACCTTGTGTAGACGGGTGGCCAATGAAGCGCTCATCACCGAGTAATCAGCTCCCGTGTCGACAAGCGCAGTCACCGGATAACAGTCGACGGAAACGGTAATGGCAGCGGACGTTCTGTTGGCGGTTTCACAAACAGGCTTTAACGACACGATTCACTTAAAAAAACAGCGCCAATTACGAGGGACAGGAGAAAGAAGGAGACAGACAGCGGCACTGCCCAAGCAAACACGTTAGCCATTTAACGACACGTCGTAAGGCA